ATTAAATTATAAGATACACTTTTTAGAAAAGCTTTAACATATCATCAACTAATAATTTATCTTATATCGTCATTAAATTTTCACTATATATTATCAGGGACCTATTGTACGTAGGAAGAGATAATATACACTCCTTTCATCTCAATTAATATAAATCTTTTGAATTTCGAGACTCAAATAAATCTTTCTTTGACTGTAATTTTTTTTATGTATTTTTAAAATACCTTTAATTATTAATTAATCTGTCTTATAATAGTTTTTATGTAGTTTTCAAATATGTGAATTTTAACAAAAAATTAAAGATGCCACATCCAAATTCATGCACAGTCAAAATTCAAAACTTACCTTGTTTGATCCTCGAAATTTGATTTGTGTCACATAAATTGAATTAGAAAGTATAGTTGATTTGAACTATTGAATGTCTTTAGTATCTTAAATCAGATGCAAAAAATGTGTCACAAGTATCGTAAATTGTGATTGAATGTCCTTTTGACTAAAATACATTGAGATAAATAAAAATGAAATAAATAAAATCTAACTAACTAAAAGTAATATATCAATGTGTGGAGGCATATTTTGTTATTTGGGTATGCCTTTTTGGTGTGCGATTGTCATTTTGGGGCTCCAACTAATTGGTAGAAGGGGGAAAATTGTATAAAATAGCAAATTATTAATTTAAATTAAATGCTATAACTATAGTTTTATTTAATTGTAATTCGTAGTAAATAATTGTCATTTGTCTCTCTCCCTAGCGAATCTCGCTCGTCACTCTCCCTCGCCTCTCTCACTTTATACAAACACAAATGTATAAATTGTGTTTGTGTAAAGCGAGAGAAAACTGCATATACAAATACATATATTTTCGTCCTATACACTTATAATTATACAAATACAGATATTTCCCTACTAGTTCTCTTTTGTCTTTCTCTCTTTATCGCTTTATACAAACACAAATTATACAAATTACAATGTATAATTTGTGTTGTATAAAGCGAGAGAGAGAGATATTTGTTATACAAATGTTTTATTTCGATTCAATTGTATACAAATTCAAATTTTATGCAGATATACAAATACAATCATTGATACATATACATAGTAGTTACATATATACAATTGAATTGAGAGGCTGCAAGCGATTTACACAAACGAGAGGCTGACTACGATTTATACAAATGAAAGGCTGCCAACGATTTATACAAATATGATAGTCTATAGCAAACATAAAGTTTGCTATGGAGCGCAATTATACAAATTAAACTATAGTTATAACATACAAATATGATTTTTATGTTTGCTAAACCTAAAATTTACTTAAAAGAAAAACGTTCTTATCATGATTAAATATCTTTCTAAAGTTTGAACTTAAAACTTTTAGTTAAGGGGATACAATTTATTTATTCCACCGCAACTTCATGGTCATGGAGGCATATTAAACGTACTTACAATGATTTTTTATTTTTTTTTCATTAGGTGTTCAGAATCCGTATTGAAGCTCTTACTAAACCTGGATCACACTGCAGGGTCCGTTCAGGAGTGAAGCTCCCAACAAGATTCTCTCCATACCCGAGGCTCGAACCTAAGACCACTGATTAAAAGGAGAGATACAACACAAAGACTTCTCAGGAAATCACACATCTTAGTATTACTTTTACCCAAATACGCTTAACTTCGAAGTTCTGAGGAGATCTGATGTTCTAGTGCTGATATGATCGAGTTAAAACTCAAAAATAAATTATTTTATAATGATTGATAATAGTGAAATTCCGACAGAAACTTCAAGTGTACATCATTCCATACTGTTTATGTAGGCAATACATTACCCAAAGCTTAAAATTCATAAAAGTTTGTCTTCAACAGTATTTCCAATGGAATATATTTTAGGGCAAAAGTTTTTTTCGAAAATAGGAGACCTAAAAATATAAAATTATATACCAAAGCATAGTACCAAAACATTAGCATTAAATGCTCCAGCCAAGCACCACCTATAGACTAATGTCATTTAGTGTAACATTGGACATAGTCACGTCACACTAAAACGAGTAGCTCGGTATATAATGTATTCCACGTTTACGTAGGATTTTAGAAAAAAGTTGTACTATCAAAAAAGGTATATCTTACACAATTGCCATAATTCATAGCATTAATAAGTGATTCTACAGTTCGAACTATGACCTATAGATCACACAAATACAATTATATCATTGCTCATAAGTTCTTTTTTTATTTTTTGGTAAATAAAATGATTTTATTACCAAGTAGGAATTACAATGTATAAGAAACAAAAAAAGGTGTCACACTAGGGAGTAAAAATGTCCATGAACATTTAATTGATAATTACTTACTAAATTGATAAATAACTTCATGATCAGTAGCAGAGCCATATAATTCGCAAGGGGATTGAAAATATAAAAAGTAAATATTCGAATAAAGACGAAAGAAATTCAATATATATCATATATTTATAATGAATAATTTTGATATGGTATATTTATAGTAAAAGAATTTTGACGAAGGGAATCCAAATGACCCCTTTACGAAACATGATCACTCTTTTCGCCTATGATGATGATATAATAGGTTAAATTATACTGATGATAAAAATACCTTTTTTAATTTATTCAATGTAAATGCATATATACATAATTAGTTTGATCCTATCCGAATATATCATCTTAGAATAAAAGAAAGTAAAATGATAATTATAAAGAAATGCTTTGATTAGCCTAGGGTTTTGAAAACATTAATAGTTGTGTGTGGATATGATTCATATTTAGTGGTGTATGATCATGTGAAGGAAGACATATTAAAACCCAAGATGCCAGACAAAGTTGTTGAAAGATTAGAAGGGAATATTTGGGAGTATGAAATAATGGAATTAGAAGATAATATGTGTGTGTTTTAATTATTTTTAGGTTTGTGCACATGTTAACACCACATATATATTATTCTATTACTAGAGAACAAATACCCCTTTTTGTGGTTCTCACACTCTCCCTCTTACCTTTAATTTCTCAAGTCAATACCTCACTTGTACTTTAATGTTCATATATATTACATTTATTTTCTTTATTGCATATGTCTAAGTTTGACCTAACTGATTAAACAAAATATAAGTTACATACATGGACAATAAAACTAATTATGACACTACACTACCAGTAAATTTTAATTTATTCTAGCTTAATTAGTAGGGTAGATTTTTATTTTTCCATGCTATTAATCTCATTTATTTATCATAGACTATAACTTATACTCTCGATATGCCAATTTATGTAGTGTTGTTCGATTAACACGAATTTTAAAAATAAGGTTTAGACCGTTATATGGGGTAAAAACTTCCCCGACTCCCATCGTGTGCTTGTACACTCACTACTAGCAAATTAATGAGAAATTTATGTTATAGAACATAATTTTTTTAATTCATTTCTTACCGAATTAACTCACTGAAAAAATACATAGTAAGAAACAGACTATATAAACTTACCATCTTAAGTGAGATAAATGCATGGGCAAATTAAGTGCACACCTAGTATTGTCATGTATCATCTGATATTGGTGTAAACACTCTATACAAATTATATATAAATTTTAATGTTGGGTAAAAAATGAATAGAAACACATAAAAAGACAAGAAGTAGAAGCGTAGAGAGTGGGAGAAAAAGAATCAAAGGGAGATGAGTGTCTCTTTCACTCTTCGACCATTTTTAACCCGTTCTCTACGGAGAGGAAAATCAATCAAAAAGTGACCATTCATCTTTTTCATTTTTTATTTACAATTTATTGTAATTGTCTTACTCTTTATTTTTTGTAATTATTTAATTTTAATTAATAAAAATCTCACATAAAATCACAAAATTTAAAGGGTATTTCAATATATAGTATACATGTAACAAATTTAAGATCATAAAATTCAAGAATTTATCAGATATTTCCTCTGTTTAAATTTATTTATCTGGTTGTGACTGGACACGAAATTTAAGAAAATAAGAAAAAAAATTCGAATCTTAAACTAAAGATATGTATAATGTACCAGAATGTGCTTTAATTTTGATGTTTTCAACATGTTGAAAAGTTAAATTAAAGAGTTGCTAAAAAAAGAAAAAATCATTTTTTTTAAACAAACTTAAAAAAAAAAAGATAAACAAATTAAAAACAAAAAATATTTATTTTCATGATTATAAATTTTATATTAATTTTAAAGAGTGTATTAATAACGTAAGAAATTTGTTACCAATAATTTAGGTTGCTTTGTTTTATGTTATTTTTTTACTATATAGAAGAAAGAGAGAGAAACTATCGAAAATGTGTTGTAGTGAATGAAGTTGTTTCTGTCTTAATCAAATGTTTTAGGTTTGAGATATGAATATATAAAAATACTTGGTAGAGAGCGCTTCCTTCTAAATGGGGTCCTATATAGTGTGAATATAAGTTAGTCGAATTCTAATACGAATATCGAACATCAGATTTTTAAAAAAAAAGGACAAAACAAGAAAGAGAAAGAGAAAGGAGCCTTGTGTTCAAGTGTCATTTTCTAATAAACAGTACTTCTCGAGGAACACAAGTCTCCTATCCCTTTCTTCCTTTTTTCTCATTCCATAAAGCCTTTCTTGATTCCTTTCTTTCATTTATTACCAAAACAAATATTTTTTTTCCTATTGTTTTCACAAACACCATTATCCCTTCTTCTTCTTCTTCTTCTTCTTCTTCTTCTTCCTTTTTCACAAACATGTCCACTTAAAAAGAAGATAAAAGATAAACTCAAAATCTTTGCCCCTCACTTTTTCTTCACTTACACTTAGCTTTTTAACAATCTCTCCCTAACTCTTTTTCCACTAAATCTATCATCAAGAATCAAACTTGAAGTTTGTTCATCTTTCTTTTTCCACATCATGTGTATGTGCAACTTTTTACTTTTATATTTCATCAATTTGGGGTTTTTGAGGTATTAAAGCCAAAAACATCATAAAAAAGAACAAATCTTGAATTTGTCATATCCAAGATGCCCTTAGAAGGGGTTTTTGTTCAACCAAACTCATCTTCATCAAAACAAACCCCTGATCTTTCTCTCCATATTAGCCCTCCAAATAATACTAATTCCTCAAACAAATCATCATCATCAACAACACGTACAACAACACATAATAGTCTGACCGAGCTTTCTTTAGCTCATCCAACTACTAATAATGAAGAAAATAGGAGTTTTTCAAGAAACCCTTTTCTCCAACAAAGCCAAAACATGAATAGTTGTTATATGATTAATCATCAACCACATGGGGTTTCTTTATTAGACCCTATAAAGGGTATTCCAATTTATCATCAAGATTCATTTTCTAATTTCTTGGAGAAAGATCCAAAGAGATTATCATCATTTGGATCCCTTTATTCAACACCTTATATTAATAATTTGGATCATTTATCATTTTTGAATAATTCATGTGGTACAAATGTTTCTTCTTCTCGGATACCTATTGTGGCTAATAGATTTCACAATCAATATTATAATGGAGTTGGATTAGGTTCACCTTCTTCTCATCATGAAAATAGTTTGATGATGAGATCAAGATTTTTACCTAAATTTCCAACTAAAAGAAGCATGAGGGCACCGCGAATGCGATGGACAACTTCACTTCATGCTAGATTTGTTCATGCTGTTGAGCTTCTTGGTGGACATGAAAGTAAAAACTCTATCCATCCCCTACTTTTAGTTTTTTTTTTTTTTACATATATAATGCACTTGTTTGTGTATCTTAAAATTAATTTTCATCTCCTAGTTTGAGTTATCTTGTAAAAATTTCATTTTATTTTTTTTTAATGTTTTTTTGGTGGCCAATGGACATGAAAGTAAACCCCAAATCTTTATCTTGATTTTTTTTTTCAACTTCCTTGATTTGATTTGATTTTTAGGGTACATTAGGTTTGATGAGAGAAGTGATGAGAACATTAATGATATTAATAGTTTCGAAAAAAAGATTCAGGATTTAAATTTGACAGATTTAATTTTTATTTTTATTTTTTACACTATTGTAAGTCAATACATGACTTTTGCAATTTAGGTTCATATATGTTCATATTCATCATCACATTTTAGTGCATTTAAAATTATTGCTGCTTAATAATATACTAAAAATTGCATATTTAATTCTAATGTTGAATTTTCTTGAATTTTTAATTAGGGGCTACTCCTAAATCAGTCTTGGAGCTAATGGATGTCAAAGATCTCACTCTAGCTCATGTCAAAAGTCATTTGCAGGTAAAATAATTAAATTACAAGAAAAAATATAAAAGGAAAATTCAGTTTAATTAAATCTATTTTTCTTTTTCTTTTTTCTTGTGTGGGTGAATTGTTTCTGTGGCACAGTAATCGATGAAAAATGCAGTGAATGAATGACTGAATTAAAGAAAACAAGTCTGATAGTATAGCAGAGAGATAAAGAAAAAGAAAACAGACAAAAGTAAGTCATCATTATTCAATAATAATAATAATAACACTACTAATACTTCTTGTTACCTTATCATAAACATTAACCTCGTGATTAATGAATTATGAAACATTTTGAGTCCACAATATTATTTTTTTCGTGATTTGAAGCAACCGTTAGTAAATAAAATATCTTTTTATATATAGTTATATATAGTGTAATTTTACGTCGTACTCCTACGTAGCTTTACCCTCGTATATATCTATGTGTGAGTAGGGGTGAAGCAAAAATATGAGTTATGAGTTTGACTATACTCAGTAATTTTAGTTTAAATTGTGTATTTGTCTTAGGTTTATTGAATATGTAGTTTTTGACGGGATACTTTCGAAAAATTAGAATTTTGAATTTATAAACTTCAAATCTTAGCTTCACCCGAGCGTGTGAGAGAGTGAGGAGATATATGGGGGTATAAATGGAATCTTTTTGTATTTATTGAATTGTTGTTTAAAATTCTAAAATACTTTTTTTCTAATGCAGATGTATCGCACTGTTAAAACCACTGACAAACCTGCAGCTTCCTCAGGTAATTAATTAATTCACTATATTCAAAAAGGAATTAATAACTATATTTATCGTTAAATAACTTAATAGCTAATCGTATTATTGATAACCCATCACTAACTCATTATTAAATTGGATTAGTAACAGATTTTTGCTAGCTCTTTTAATGATAGAAATTTTCTAAACCATCTCTCTATCCTATAAAGATTGAGACTTATCTACGTACGTTCACTTTATACTTGCGGAATCACACTAAATATATTATTATTATTGTTATGCATAAAATTTGTCTGTCGCTAATTTATTATCGGTAATTTATTAAGGGCAATCCGATGGATCAGGTGAAGAAGATCTGTTAGCTATAGACAGGATTTTGGATCAAAGAGGTCCATCAGATGGATGTGATGAACCTTCTACAACTCTTTGGAGCAACTCCTCTAGGTACAATTGACACATAAATTATATATAATTCTTTGAATAAATGACCATGTCTTTTGATTTTCATGGCGTTTACGTTATATACATCGATGATATAAAAATAATTAGGTAACCAGGTCGCTGATGAGGTAGTTACACATAAATCGTTATGATAAAATACTTCGATTCATTTTATTTGACATACTTCATTTTTTAGTCTGTCTCAAAAATAATTATATTTTGAAATAATGACTTCAAATTTTGTTTACATATTGCTTATTGAATTTATATCACAAAATTTAAAAGTCTTTCTTTCTTTCTTTCTAAATTACGTGTCCATGTCTATAAATTAGATCGAAGGGAGTAATTGATAACCTAATAATATGTTGTAGTATATATAAATGCTATAATAGGTTGAATTTAATGTCTATACACTTGAAGTATAAGAAATATTTTTACAATTAAGACACTTTAAAGGTATAGTTACATGTAGCTCTGTTTAATATATATTTACGTCCACATAAAAATGTGGCCACAAATATATTTTTTTAATACAGTAAACAAATAAAAATGGATGGTGATAAAAAAAAATTTGGTCTCATGGGGAAAATATTCACACGTACATTATTAACTTTTGAAGTAATGATGAATAAAATTGATAAACATATTTTCTTTTACTTTTTGCATGAATCTTTAGAAATGCAAACCCACGTACTTCATTTTCTAATTATTCTAAATATATTAGTATTATATACTTATATAAAGAGTTTCTTGTGGCAGCTTTTGCTTTTTTTTTTTTCTTCTCTTTTTATTATATTTCATTTTTCTTTTTTCACCTGAAGATTTTTCAACATATGTACGCCCTTTATTTTTTATTAAAGAAACATATATAATAGTACTACATAAATTAAAGTGTAGTATTTAATTACTGCAACATCTACTTTATCTTTTCTTTTTTCTCTTTCTTTGCATTTTGGAATTAATTAATTTAATTTTCTAATTAAATTTAATATAGACAAAACCCTTTTACTTTACTTTGTTGTTATTCTCTTCACGAGGAGACTTTAGCATATATGTCCAAAAAAAAGACCTTTCTCTTGACTTAAGTGCTCTCCTTTTCTCAAAGTTATACATTTGTTTAATTAAAGTATTTATTTATGCATGCTGTTTCTATGGACGTGTGTTTGTCTCTTATGTGTATATAGTTAATAATAATAATATATAATATGTAATATCTTTCTTGTTATTTGAAATTTGAAATGTAGCTTCTACGTACGTATTAGGAAAACTTGCTCTATAAATTGTCCTTTTCCTTGATTACTTAATACTTTGACTTTAAGTATGCACATATAAATATTTTAATTTGTATTACTGTATCAGTCGAACACTTCAATTTCAACCTTAATTATGTATATAAGTAATGTTCTTCCATACTCTTGAGAAAATAGGCATAAGGTAGGTATACATCTTATTGGTAGAGAACTTCCCACCCCCAGTGTCTTTGAAGACTTAGTCAAAAATAGCTTTTAGCGGGAATAAATAGACACATTAATAAAGAGTGCTAAAGTCTAGCTTTATCGGCACTAGTTAAGTGTCATTAAATCCAGTGTTGCTAAAGGCTTTAGGGGTATATACAAAGAGTGCTAATTGCCACTAAAAATACATATTTAATGACAATTAAGCTATTGTCATTAATTAATTGTCGCTAAAGATCATTTTTGACGTAATGTCAATGATATTAAGTCCACCTGCTACATGTGGTTTGCACACTGTTTTCCAGGAAACTAAGGCTTTCTTGGATGAGTTGGATTTTAATTTAGTCTTTTAATAGGTTGAACTTTAATTTTTCGCCTTCAGATGTTGGTCTTCAATTTTTATCTTTTTAACAATATAATTTATGTCTAATAAGACATAAAGTTCTTTAAATTTGAAGTCATGTTGGGACATAAATATAGGACATTATGATATATATAAGAAAATATAAACTTACATCCCGTGGAAACATTGTTTGTTATGAACGATAAAAATTAAAAACCATCATAAAATAAAGCTAAGACAAAATTGCAAATGACTCCATTATAAAAAAAAATTGAAAGCTCTTGCACCATTAATAAAAAAAATAAGTGTATTTAGACTTCTCTTACCCCATCTTCACCTGTAATTAGTCTAGTTCTAGGGTTTACTAGATCCAAATTCTTTTTAGTTCTCTATCCATTGTCATTTTTTTCTTTTGAAAAAGAGTGTTGATGGTGAAGGAGAGAGAAATAACGGGACAAACGAGACTTGCTCAAATGATTAAACACTTTTATCATTCATCGATAGATTGAGCATTTGAGTTAAGCTATATACTAAGAAATGAGAAGACTATTGATCCTCCCGAGGGGTAGGATGATAACGGGTTGAAGAGTAATGGGCTTGGAGTAGCGAAAAAGTACACTAATGGGCTGATTGTGAGATGAAAGAAGCCCAAAATCCCTTGATGTGCTTGATTCATTCTATTTTTAGATAAATGATCTTATAATAATATAAATATTTCTCTTAAGGAGTATGCAAAAACTTTAAAAGTATATGTTATAGTATATAAAGTTTATTTTCTACTTAAATTTTCAGTAGTAGAGAAAGATTATCACAAGCTAGCTTCAACGAATCAAATGGACTCATCAGATCATCATCTTTTCCATCTCAACAAAGATTTGGCCACCATATAGAGGTACTTCCCTCAATCTCTTCTCGTTTTTCCTAATAAACATATTGTTCAGATCAACTTACGTACATTTTGAATAACCCTATCTTTTAATGTAATACTAGTGTTTTCCTCATTTTACTTTGCATGGAAGTACTATCAAATGTTTAATTGATGTTATAGCCTCAAAATTATAATTTAAATTTTAAAAGATGTTCAATATTTAAAATAAAAAGGGAATTATAGTATTTTTGGTTCCTTCGTTATTTGGTTAATTATGATTTAATCCTTGTGATATCAAGCAAAACACATTATTTAGCCTTCAATCAATAGAAATGTGAATTGTAAAATGTTTTATTAATGACCCCTTATTTTTCTTCTCTTTTCTATGTTTTAATAATGAACTCACCCACTATATATGTGGAGAATTTATCCCCCTCTCCACTAGGAAAAAAAGGGACACCATTATAAGTAAAACATTTACAACTTCTTTTTTCATTTTAACAAAAGGAAAAGAATTGCTATAGTTGAATTAGTTGACACTAGATTAGACAAACATAACTGCATACGTCTCAATTCCAAACAAGTTGATCAGGTTAGCTATTTGACCTAACTAAATCTATAACTAGACAATGTGGTCCGTCGCAATTATATTGCCTTCCATTTCAACATAAAAATCATGATATTAAGTGTACTAAATATGTGAAGAAATTATTGCAGGAATGTGAATATTCAAGAGCAATGAGCTATGTAGGTTGCAGTTTGGATCAGAAAAACCCTAGCTTGGAGTTCACATTAGGAAGATCAGATTGGGTAGAAAAGAACCATGACTAAAATTTGGGCATCAACACCTTCAATATATTAAATTTTATTTGGGTTTTTGGCTTAAAGCTGATTCTTCTAATTTTGTTATTTTTTGTAATTTGAGATGAAAGGTATGTGATATCAAGATTGAACTATTAAGAGCTACTACTACTACTACTACTAAAAACAAAAAGAATTGGTTTTCTTTAGCTAGCATGGCTAAGTAAGTTCCCATGTAGCTTCAACTAAGTTATGACCTACCTATATATATATATATATACACAACCTAATTTTTTTTTTAGAGTTTTGTTAATTAGACTTTTTTTTCCTTGTTTAATTTGAGTTCTTGGGTTGTTTATGAGTATGTAATAATATAAAAGTTGTTGGAGTTTTTGGGTTGTCTGTGAGGCATAGAGTTTCTCTTGTATTAATGACTACTCTAGTGGAATGGTTTTATATGGTGCAATAGTAGAATGCTTTTTTTATGGTACAAGGACATTATTATTCAAAATATTAGCCTAGCATCAAATTATAAATTAAGTAATGGTGTATCAATATAATTAAGAAATGTAATGCCCAAGAAGCAAATTCTTAGTAAATATCTCAGGATCAGTTTCTTGCGAATTAATTGTTGGTCCATAATCCATTAATTAAATTAATTTCCAACCAATTTTTTTTTGATTATTTTATTTATATTTATAGTAATTAGAAGCAAAAATAAATTCATTAACATACAAAAAAAATAAAAATAAAAATAAATCCACAAGGGACTTGGAGGAGTGTGAATGTTCTTTTTTGGAGGAATTTTCAAAACCGACTATAGTTTAGGCTTAATTATAAATTTATATATAGCTAAATTATGATTCTTAGCTACATGATAGAATCATGCGAGAGGTGAGAGAGGACAAATTCATATTTTATTCATTCTATCAAGTGTATTTATTCCTTGTGTATTCGCTCTGATTCTTTAGTGTGGGAATGATTTTGGATATGAATTAAGGTAACTAGAATCTCATAGTACAAAGTTGAATTGAAAGTTTCCTTATCATTAAGTTTTGATGTAAGATTCTCTTTGGGTCAATTTCAAACAACCATATCTCTTCTTAGAATATAAGAGTTGTGACCCATAACCTATTAAATTAAAGGTCTTTGAATTATCTTTCCAATGCCATCAAGTTTGCAACATTCCACGTTCGGAGTAGAGAGTTATGATCATTTTACTAAATAATGTAGTGCAGTTCCGTTTTAGCCGCGGGAGAATTCTAAATAAAGTAATTTTCTTCTCCTTAAACCACTAGGAAAACCTTAAAAACAGATTTCTTAACTCCTATAAAACCCTAAACAATCTTATTTCCATCTTTTAATCCATCATTCTCTTCTCTCTCAAACCCTAAGACAAAACCCTAAGAAAAAATCAAAGTAGAAGACTCCATTCAAGATTCTTTCAATCTTTTTCAAGATTCTTTCCATCTTTTTCAAAATTCTTCTTCAAGGTAAGTTTTTCTCCAAGAATTCCATTCTTTCAAACTAAAATTTCTCCCTACAATTATGAATCACTAATGAAAATCATAAATCTTGGCAATAGAGATTTCAAGAAACTAATTCAAGAATCTCAAGAAAGGTTTTCTTGATTTTTTTTTTACCTTCAAGCTAGGGTTTCAAGGTTTCTAACAAGATTCTTCAAGATTTTTCAACAACCTTGTTCTTCCAGGTATGTAAGACTATCATAGTGTTGGACTAGTTCGTCCTCACGCCCTACATCTATTTTCAAATCAGTAAAAGAGAAATCTAGAATTCTACCCCTAGATTTGAGTATTCTTGAGATAAGTTGATTTTGAGTTCTTAAATTCCTGATTCTTTTGAAATTCTATTCCTAAGAATTGAGTTTCTATATTTTTATTGAGATCCTTGAGTTGATTTGTTCAGGTCTATAATTCAGCATGAACCCTATTTTGAGTTATAAATCTTGAAAAGTTTTTCAAAGCCAACACTTGAGTTTTAAACTGAGTTTTTGAGGAAGTAAAGATGATTTTGAGAAAAAGTTTAAAGGTTCTATTTCATAAAGATTTAAGAGTTTCTAATGTTATGTTATTTTTATATATATACCTATGTTAATTATTGGATTTGAAAGATAAGTTCATAAGTGCATGTTTTCAAGAAGGTAAACACGTCTCACGTTTTGAAAAATATTTCAAGCAATGTAAGAAGTCCATTCTTTGTAATGGGTGAATTGAGCACAAAGTTATATTAATTATTTTGGGAGTAGTATCGAGCACCTAGTTAGGTTAGTCTTTTATGATTCGGAAGTCCCATAGAACTACGTAGCCAGCGTAGGATAGGATATCATTGATTCTTCATGCGACTCCTCACCGCCTCTGAGAAGACATATAGTTGGATCCATAGTCACGATATCATCCTGAAATGACCCAAAAGGTTCTTAAAAATGTGCTTCGGAAGTTACCGGAAACTTGTTTAGCTATATCAAAAAAATCCGTTTCGTTTTTCGAAAATACGACTTCATATTCTTGTTTAGGGGGTCAAATTGAGTGGGAAATGGGTCTAACCCAAATTTTAGAGCAACCGTATCAAAATCCGAAATTTCCAAGTGAAGCCTTTTTCGAGGGTCTACTTTGGAGGGTCATATCTCCTAGCACACAAATTATTGGGTGGCCCATAACATATCCATGGAAAGCCCTTGGAGTTAGCTACCTAACGCACTTCGTTTCACCTCATTCGGAGTTCGGACGAAGAAGTTATGCCCATTTTCATAAAATCTGTCCGGCAGGAAATGCAATTTCCAGTGAGCGTTTTTACTGTTCACCCGCCTCATTTTTTTTTCTAAGTGTTGGACCATTTTTCCAAAGGGCATATGTTATTTCCTATATACCATTAGTTCAATTCTCATCTCTAAAACATTTCCCAAAACACCTCTCCCATACTTAGACACATTTTCTCTCAAGAACCCTAATCCAAAACCTTCCTCAAGATTGAAGAGACTCTTGCTCCAAGTTCCAAGCTTCCATTGAAGACACTCTCAAGACCTTCATAAGAACTTAAGGTATGTGGTGTTGAACTCATGGGTCCTTCCACCCATAGTGCCTAGACTCTATTCTACTCACTAATTCATGGTTTAAGTTAAGATTCATAAATTAGTCTTGTTCTTTGTAATAATTTCCTGCACATTGAATTTTAAACATGAAAAGTGATTGTTTTGAGCATGTTGTGACTCTAGAACTTGAATCTAAATTTGGAATGGATGTGGAGATTTTCATGTGGTATTGTGGGTGTTAAAAGGTGTTGTTGTAGGTTGTTCACTGGTTTGGCTGCATAATTACTACCCTATTTTCCATGCTGTTTGATTCCATTACATGCCTTCAAGGTGTTTGACAAAATATCCAACTATGGAGAATTGATGAATCGATGTTTTAAAGCTTGAGTTATGAGATGTATGGCAATCCAGAGATGTGTTGATGACAAACTAAGCTTGTGTATATGTTCATTCCATACGTGAGATTGCATTAGAGCCTAATGGGAATTTCCTATATAAAGTGTTGCATGACCATGCCCGGTCCGGGGGAAAAGAACCGGACAACCACGTGAGAGGTTTATATCTCACCACCTAAGATGCTTGGGGTGTGACCAACATCAACCATGTGAGAGGTTTATATCTCACCACCTAGGATGTTTGGGGTGTGACCAACATCAACCATGTGAGGGGTTTATACCTTGCCACCAGGGTGTCCGGGTGTGAACGGCATCCCCCATCTTAAGTTGGGGTTATAGATTGGTTGGATCATGCATACACATATGATATCTACTATTAGTATAGATTTACTTAAACATGTTTTGACTTCACTTTGATCATGCATCCTCATATTATCATTCATAATGCCTATGAAACTATTTCTTGTATTTCGATTGTGTCATTGTCTATTGTTGTGTTGCACCCCGCATACTTAGTACATTCCAAGTACTAACGCATATTTTGCCTACATGATGTCACCATGTAGGGACCGGAGCTACTCTTGATCCTTCTCTCCATTCACGTGGCTAGTACGGTGCTTATCCGAGTTTGTTGGTGAGTCCTCAATGATTCGAGGGCTATGTTATGTTTCCTACTCCTATGTTTTGAGACTTTAGCTTGCAATTGTATTTTGACTATGAGGGGAGCCGGTAGTATGTCATGGCCCCCGTTCTATCTATGTATGTAGAGGTGTGCGTTGGACAAGTATTTTGTAAATGAGCTTGACTCTTGTTCTACGATGTCATTTTGAAATGGTTTGCCCTTAGTCCCTATTTCCCGTTGATTAATGTTGATTGTACTTCCGCGACCGATGAAGTGTGATGACAAGTTTGAGAGGCTTGTTTGGGGTTCCTTCGGGTTCCTCATTCGCCATGTCACGTCTAGGCCCTAGGCTTGGGTCGTGGCACATCCTATACCCTGGCAAAGTATAGGATTGCCCTGACAACGTGAGGCGAAACGTTGTATCATTGCTAGGCTCATGCTAATGGTTGTCAGTTAGAGAAACTCTCCACAAGTAAAGATTATTCTTTTCATGTTGCTTTTATTGCATATCCTATTGTAAAGATTAAATGGTTTTCACTTCATGTTCATATATTGATTCAGTTGAGTTGCTTTCAGTCAATCAATTCAGTTGTTTGTTTACTCAGCCATATTACATACTCATACATTTCATGTTCTGATGTCATTCGACCTGCATCAGTTTATGATGCAGATATAGGCGTTCATGATTATCAACGAGCGCTTCGTTGAGATCACTCTACACTCCAGTTAGCTTTGGTGAGCCTCCTTGTATTCTAGATGACTTCACAACTACTTTCCAGTTAGTAGTTTTGAGGTGTCGTGGGTCTTGTCCCAACATCCTTTCTTAATAGTCGATGTTTCATAGATAGACAGTTTTGGAAAGTTTTTCAGTTTCAGATGTTTTATTTAAACTTATGATTCATACTCAATATATTCAATAAAGTTTTGAGATTTAGTAAACTGTTTTTAAACGTTTCTTTCAATTTGATGCTTATGTATGCTCAAGTTAGCCTTCCGCTTGTAGT